AAAGTGAAATTGACTTTTATTTGTCGTATGCTTTAAACATTTCACCAATAAATACACCAGCTAGAATTCATGGCTAAAAGTGCTGTATACCTGCTCTGTTTGTACAAGTTTCCGAGAGTAGTAAGAATGAGGCTGAGGAATTTCATCAAAAACCAAATAGGTTGCACTATTCACAGCCCAGCAGGAGGCGTCGTTAACGAGGTAAAGATCAGCATCCGAATCTGAATGCGCCAAAATAGTCACCTCAGCAAGACTTGATTTAATGAGTTCGAAAATGCGTTGCGCATCTTCAGATAGGTAGATGTCCGTTTTTTTGGCTTTTAGTTACTCTTTCAAAGGATTCACCGTGTCTCTACAGTTGGGAATGAAGTGATGGTAAAAATTTACCAATCCGAGAAATATTCTTAAAGTCTTGACGATGCGCAGAAGAAAAAAATCTTTGATACTCAAGGTTATCTCTTGACTTAGTAGCATACCGTGAGCATCAACACTATGTCCGAAAAATTCAAAGAATCGACGCCAAACAGGCTTTTTCAGGGGATATCACCATATGGTGGCGAGATAATCTTTTAAACAGTGCAACAAAACGTTGTTTTTGCTGTTCCACATTGCCCTAGAAATTATTATACTGTTAATGTAGGCAAAACTTCCTTTTAGGCCACGATCAACCTCGTCCATAAGTCTTTTAAACGTCTATGCGGTGTTTCTAAGCCAAAAGCCATCCTGTTAAATTATCACAACCGAAAGGGGTGATGACGGCCGTCTTGTCTACGTGATCTGGATTTATAGGGAGCTGAGAGTAGGCTGTTTATAAGTCAACTTTAGATAAGTTGTTTTTGCATTTTAGAGCTAATATTACGTTTGTCTTCAGCTTGTCCGTTGCCAATTGACGATGTCGGAGGAAGACTTGGTGGCCAGTGGTCTCAATGTGATGCATTACTGTTTGGCTAGTTAAATCTCTGTGAATAACAAGTATGGTTTTGGAGGTGAACTTGCTGAGTAGCTTATTCCAGGTTTACTTTTTTGTCCTAAATACTCAGCACGAGTAGTACAAAGGAGTCAGTATGGCATGGATCCAATGATTTAGTATACCTTTACGAGTCCGATATTTAATGGATCAAGGCAAGTAGACTTTTTTCTAAGAAAATAAATCCAAAGAATAGCAAAATGTAAATCTACCACAACGAATGTCCACTTCAGAG